AACAGATGAGAGGCTGTGGGTTGAGCCGGGGCATGGGTTCAGCTGAGAAAGAGGAAATGTGACAGGGAAGTCATCATATGCGGAATGTGCCCTAGGCCCACCATCCTTATCTGTATCTCTTCTGTTTCCAGTAGATCTCTACCTCATCTTCCTGCTTTGGTCTTGTCCCTCCTACAGGCAGCCTGAACTTTAGCCAAATTGGTTTTTCTGAAATACAAATCAGACCATGTCAATCTCCTGTTTAAAACCCTATCATTGGCTTCTCACTGCCTTTAGGATAAAATCCCATCTTCTCAGCCTGGCACCCAGGACCTGCTGTGAATGGTCTCCCTGCATGCCCAGGCCTCCAGAGGCTCGTCTTCCGCCCTCCTGCCTCACACCGAAATCCTTGTAGTCCCATGCACACAGCGGCCTTTGCCATGTCTTTGCTTGCGCTGTTCTCTTTGACTCGAATGCCCTTCCCACCTTCTTTCTTTCTTCCTTTTTTTTTCTTTTGGACTACAGCTCACTCATGCTTGAAGACTCATTTCAGGGATCACCTACTTCAGAACGCCTCCCTGAATCCCCAAGCTGGCTCAGGGCCCTCCTCATGTTCCCATAGCATTCTGCCCTCACTTTCACTTATGATAGTAGAAGTGCCTCTTGTGCAGCTGCCCACCCCTGCTAAATTGTACCTTTGAGGGCAAACCCTGTATCTTATTTTCCCTTTTGCTCACCAGCATCTAGTACCAGGCCTGGCAAATCACAGGCTGCTGTTAATGTCTGTCAAACTGAGCCAGTGGGCAGGAGAATATTCGGGTGGGTGTCTGTGCCAGGCAGCCAGGATGCCCCCAGTAAGCCTGTGGACGAGGCAGCTCTCCCAGGTGGCTAGTCTCTCCTGTGAGGGGGCATGAGGCAGTCATATTATTTCTACATCCACAGAAGACGAAGTGGAGCCGTGGCCATAGATGTTCTACAACAAACTGTGACATCTTAGTAAAATGCAGTGGTTAAAATCATACATTTTAGGTCACCTGTGTGTGACTTTTGGCTCTGTTACTTCCTTCCTTAATACTTTGAGTAAATGACTTAACTCAGACTCAGTTTCCCAAAATGTAAGAAATAAAAATAGCACTAACCTCAGAGAGTTGCTATGAAGATTAAATGTGGAAGTACTTAGCAGCAGGCACACACTAAGCACTTCTAAGTGTCAGCTACTGTTATGAATGCCTTCATCATTTGGGATGGTTCTGGGGGCCTTAAGCCGAGTCATATCCCTGAGTACACCTTAAGGCTGATTAAGAACCCTCTGGAACCACAGAAGATCATTTGGGTGTCTAAGGAGCTGGCGGACCCCCCAGAGGCTGGGTCTGTCTCGGCTGTCGTCTGGGCTGGGGAAATGGCGTGACAAAGTGGCCTTTGCCTTTGTCATTGGAGATGGTCCCCCTCCCTCCAGCATCTCAGGCAGAAACTATTTCCTGGCAGGGCTGGGAGTCCACAGGTCATTTTTCCATCTTCCATTCCAAAAACTTGGTGCAGGCATCTACTGTCCACTTTCTTGCTCTTTTTTCTTTTATCCTTTTCCCTCGGTTCATTTGTTTCCTCAGGGAGCAGTCTTTCTAAACTGGCGTCTGATTCTGATCCCGTGATAGCATTTTCCCATAAAAACCTGTCGCCACAGGTTTTCCTTTGCAAGACTGAGGAAAACAAAGACCAGGATCCTCCTTAATTCTCCTGGTAGGTAACATAAGTAGGAGTTCTTGTTCCCCATGCCTTGGGATACTCAGTGTCCCGTGTCCTCGGCCTGCAGAAAGCCAGCCCTCCTCCCTAACCTGCAGGTGGCCCACTCCTCCTGGTGGGCTGCCACCTCCCGTCACAACGTCGGCTCCTGATCAAAGAGCTGCTTCAACTGTGCCCACCTTCTGTCCCCTCCTGCATGGGGCTTGTCAGAATCCACAAAGTGCAGGCTTTTCAGAGGTCAAGGCAAGATGCCAAGAGCCTTCTCTGTCCATGTTTCTCCATGGCGGGGGAGGGCCAAGCCTGTGACTGGGGTCTCTGTACGCCACAGATTCTGAGAGCTTTCTCGCCCTTTAAAGATGGATGCTGAGCACCTGCAACCACCCTACTCTCCCACAGTCATCCTCGCTGCCTTTTCTCTTCTGAGTGAGATCAAGGCCCCAAGCACCTTCTGTGATGACCCCCAGAACCTGGACTAATGGGGAATGTAGGTCTCAGCACTGGGCTGCTGTCATGGGGAATGTGAAACCTAGTTAACCCACAAGGCCCTTTGGGGGGAAGGTCTTCATGATGACAGTATGCACCAGGGTGTACCATGCCCTAAAGGGAATTTCTCTTTGTGTACAAGCCTTAGGAATTGAAAAAGGTCTTGGAGAGCTTCTAAAATCTAGTCAGGATTTGTCTATGAGATCTATATATTTTTTTCTAAACCAAATGCCTACTTTTGAGATCATAACATGGCTTTACACAAGGTTGATGTGTATTAGTCTGCTCAGGCTGCTACAACAAAATACCACCGACTGAGTGGTTTAAACTGTATAAATATATTCTCTCACAATTCTGGAGGCTAGGGTGTTCAAGATGAAGGTGCTGCCCAATGTGACTTCTGGTGGGGGGCCTCTTCCTGGCTTGAATATGGCTACTTTCCCACTATGTCCTCACATGGTGGAGAGAGATCTCTGTCTGTCGCTTCCTCTTCTGATAATGCCACCAATCCTATCAAATTAAGACACAACCCGTATGACCCCATGTAATCTTTTTTTTTATTAAGGTATCATTGATATACACTCTTATGAAGGTTTCGCAAGAAAGACAATGTGGTTATTACATTCACCCTTATTATCGACCCATGTAATCTTAATTACCTCCTGAAAGCTCTATTTCCCAATTAAGCTATTTGACATTTGAGCATGGGCTTCAACATATGAATTTGGAGGGGGGCACAATTCCATAGCACTGAGGAAGTTTTCTCAGTGGCTACATTTATTTATTCCAAAAACATGTATCTGCTGAGCACCTACTAACTTAGGATACCACAATAAACAAAATAGACACAGTCTTTACCTTTATGTCATTTGCAGTTTAATGGATGAATTAAACACTAATCATATAATCCCACAAATAAACTTGTAATGTCAACGTTTTATAAGTGCTATGAAGGAAAAGTAAAGTGTGGGATGGAAAAACACAACACAGGGAGGTGACCATTTTTAGGAGTGAGGGCAAGGTTTTCTGATAAAGTGATACTTAAACTGAAATCAAAAGCATTGTTAAGAATGAGGGCACAAAGAAGAAACAGTCATTTCAGGCATGCATGGATGATATTGTGTGTAAAGGTCCTAAGGTGGGAAATAACATGGTGTCAACTGGCACCTGAAATGACAGCTATTGTTGCTGAAATGTAGTTAAGAGGGAGAAGCAGGAGATGAAGGGGCAGAGGAGGAAGGTGGTAGCTCATGCCAGGCTTTGTAGGTCATAGTAAGGAATCTAATTTTTATATTAAGAGCAAGGGGACACCACTGAAGGGCTTCAAATAGGGATGTGATAGCATAGATTTGGGTTGTTGTTTTTTTTAAAGATGGCCATGGCTGTGAGGAAATTCTGGAATAGAAAAACAGCAAGGCTTGGAGGGGTGACTTCAGTTGGGAGGTTACTGTGGTCGGTTTGTCAGGTGAGGGGTAGTGGTGGCTTGGGCTGACATGATGGTGTAGGGATGAAGGGAGAGTTGATAGGCTTTAGTGCCGGATTGGATAAGGGACAGGAGGGAGAAGAAGGCTTGCAGACTAACATGTGTTTTCAAGTATGAGTAACTGGGTTGATGGAGGTGCTATTTTCTGAGATGGGAAAACAGAGAGGGAAGAGTAGATATGGAGGACAAGGACTTTAAATCTTTAAGGTGCTATACAGATGAAAACCAGCATTCTTCTATTACTAAAAGTACCCCACACATGGTTGTAGCACAGGTGTAAAATGCACAAGTAGCTTTTTTTTAAGAAAAAAGTTAGTGCATGACTATTTGCATTCTCATTCCAACTGAATGAAGTGATGAGTGGGAAGATGAGTCTATAGTTTCAGTTGAATTACCTGCCATTCTTCTGAACTCATGCTCATCCTTTAGTAGATTGAGGAAAGCAGATGAGGCTGCATTTCACCCCAAACTTTAGTCAACAGTTAAAAAAATTATCTGAGAACCACTTACATGTTTTATCAGTAGTGATTTCTACCACTTGGCCCTTTCAGTGTTTGGATTCAGAATTTGAGGGGCTGACTGATTCTTTTCCTATAACTGGATGCCTAAACTGTTTCATAAGCATGTTTTGATGGAGGGCTCAGGGCTTCCCTGGACTGGGTCTTGGGAATAGCTTACAGTACCTCAGTTTAGCTACACTGCAGGCAGCATTCACTACAGAATCAACTCTCTTCATGTCCCAAGCAATCTCAGAATTAGAGCTTGCTTGCAGAAGTTTGGCATTTGGAGAGGGAGTTTTTCACAAGGAGCTCAATTGCACACAGAAGAAGATATTCTATTTTAGAAGAGTAGCCCAATGGTAAAAATGTAATTCAATATGCATACTTACAAGCCTATACTATGCAAGGTTCTTGAGTATGATGACAGTGGGGTAAAGAAGGCTAAAAACCCTAGAAGAAGTATAAGTGGGGACAAAGATTCAGGTCATAATTAGCCTCTTTTAAGTTGATTCTTGAGAATTCTCACAGGTAACACTGGGATTTGGAGACAGGACTATAGGGTATCACTTATGTTTCCATTACCATTATTCCCAGCTATTTTAAGCAATTCTTCAACTGAGTCTCCACCAGATGGTCCTGGGGACAGAGCAGTTATTTGTTCCTTCCAATGACATCTATTTTGCCAAGTAAGAGGCTGCCACATATGTTAGTGCAGTATGTTGCTCAAGGTAAAACATCATTTGTGTTGGTGGGAACCTGCCATTTGCTGCCCCCCTTTTCTTCATGCCTTTTCCTGCCTCTCTGGTCTTTTCTAGGTCTCTGGCCTGTCAGGAGGACCATTGGTGCTGCAGTGGAAGCCAGCGGCTAAGTATTGTGTATGGCGTGGTTAAGGTTGCAGCCTGTCACCTCTGCCTTCCTCCATTTTGGGCTGATTACTTTTGTGCTCTTCCTAAATGGTCTTCGGGCAGAGGCTGGTGGCTCAGGGGATGTGCCCAACACAGGGCAGAACAATGAGTCCTGTTCAGGGTCATCGGACTGCAAGGAGGGTGTCATCCTACCAATATGGTATCCAGAGAACCCTTCCCTTGGGGACAAGATTGCCAGAGTCATTGTCTATTTTGTGGCCCTGATATACATGTTCCTTGGGGTGTCCATCATTGCTGACCGCTTCATGGCATCTATTGAAGTCATCACTTCTCAAGAGAGAGAGGTGACTATTAAAAAGCCCAATGGAGAGACCAGCACAACCACAATTCGGGTCTGGAATGAAACTGTCTCCAACCTGACCCTTATGGCCCTGGGTTCCTCTGCCCCTGAGATCCTCCTTTCTTTGATTGAGGTGTGTGGTCATGGATTCATTGCCGGTGATCTGGGACCTTCTACCATTGTAGGCAGCGCAGCCTTTAACATGTTCATCATCATCGGCATCTGTGTCTATGTGATCCCTGATGGAGAGACTCGCAAGATCAAGCACCTGCGAGTCTTCTTTGTCACTGCTGCTTGGAGCATCTTTGCCTACATCTGGCTCTATATGATCCTGGCAGTCTTCTCTCCTGGTGTGGTCCAGGTTTGGGAAGGCCTCCTCACTCTCTTCTTCTTTCCGGTGTGTGTCCTTCTGGCCTGGGTGGCAGATAAGCGACTGCTCTTCTACAAATACATGCACAAAAAGTACCGTACAGATAAACACCGAGGAATTATCATAGAGACAGAGGGTGACCACCCCAAAGGCATTGAGATGGATGGGAAAATGATGAATTCCCACTTTCTAGATGGAAACCTGGTACCTCTGGAAGGGAAGGAAGTGGATGAGTCCCGCAGGGAGATGATCCGGATTCTAAAGGATCTGAAGCAGAAACACCCAGAGAAGGACTTAGACCAGCTAGTAGAGATGGCCAATTATTATGCTCTTTCCCACCAACAGAAGAGCCGCGCCTTCTACCGCATCCAAGCCACCCGTATGATGACCGGCGCAGGAAACATCCTGAAGAAACATGCAGCAGAACAAGCCAAAAAGGCCTCCAGCATGAGTGAGGTGCACACCGATGAGCCTGAGGACTTTGTCTCCAAGGTCTTCTTCGACCCGTGCTCTTACCAGTGCCTAGAGAACTGTGGGGCTGTCCTCCTGACAGTGGTGAGGAAAGGTGGGGACACATCCAAGACCGTGTATGTGGACTACAAAACAGAGGATGGTTCTGCCAACGCCGGGGCTGACTATGAATTCACAGAGGGCACCGTGGTTCTGAAGCCAGGAGAGACCCAGAAGGAGTTCTCTGTGGGCATTATCGATGATGACATTTTTGAGGAGGATGAGCACTTCTTTGTGAGGTTGAGCAGTGTCCGCGTAGAGGAGGAGCAGCCAGAGGAGGGGATACCTCCAAACATGCTTAATAGTCTTCCCTTGCCTCGGGCTGTCCTGGCATCCCCTTGTGTGGCCACCGTCACTATCTTGGATGATGACCATGCAGGCATCTTCACTTTTGAATGTGACACTGTTCATGTCAGTGAGAGTATTGGTGTCATGGAGGTCAAGGTTCTGCGGACATCAGGTGCCCGGGGCACAGTAATCGTTCCCTTTAGGACAGTAGAAGGGACAGCCAAGGGTGGTGGTGAGGATTTTGAAGACACATATGGGGAGCTGGAGTTCAAGAATGATGAAACTGTGTAAGTAAACTTTCCATATTCTATCCCCGCCACACCTTGTCATCTCCTTCTGTCCTGCACCACTCTTTGAAACTTTCCCTTGTGTTAATGTCAAACTTTGGTTCCATCACAGGTGTGCAGGATCAGCAGGCACTACTGACAAGTTCTGCTTCCAAACTGTCCTTCAGTTTTCTCACTTTTAATTGTTTCTGGGCAAGGAATCCTGTGGCAGAATCTAAGGACACAGAGCATTTTTGTCCAGTGAAACTCAAATGATGACTGGTGGAATTATGGGGTAACAAAAGTTTTGATGTCAGGTTTTGGAGAATTCTTGTGATTAAGCAAAAGTGAAGAGATTGCTGGGTCTGTCCTTCCTCCTTCCCTCATGCCATGGGCTTATGTGAGCTTTGGAGCCAATCCTTTCCATGCTGAGATGGTGATAGCCCAGTCAGGACATCCTCAAGGAAATACATGGCATTGGTCTTTTTTCCCAGTACCATATTGCAGTTGTATTGTATACCCAGATTCCAGGCACCTCTCCTTCAATCTGGAAATTGCAGAATTAATTGAAACTTGGCCATCTCTTTAAATGCCCATAGTCTATTTTGGAGTGCAAGGCCTGCCCAGTCTAGGTGAGATGAGTCAGTATGGCTTGGGGATTGGAGGTATCTTAGAGAGGCAGAGCTTCCAGGGCAGTGGTCACATGTCTAAGTTCTAAAATCTGGCTAATTAGTGAAGGAGAAGCCTTTTCTGTGTGGGAGAAAGTCCATCTATGTTGTGGTCATCTCTTTTCAAAGTCCAAAATTCTCCTGAAATAGTTTTCAGGTCACTGCCCTGCCTAGTCCTTCTCCCCTCAGTAGAAGGATCCACACTTTCACTGCCTCTATCGCATTGAGGTCTCTCCCCACTGAACCTTCTTGTACTGCATATTCTGTCCTTCTCCCACATGGATAGCTCTGAGGAAGAAAGCAGAATGGCTTTCCCCAGGATTTGCAGCTTACGAGACTGCAGACTTCTCAGAGTAGCCACAAGGGATGGATATGGGAAAGGGAAACCTTGTCTATTACTTCCTGTTCATGTACACCAGCAATGAGCAGCAGCAGCAAACTGGATACCAGTTTGAGGAACAAAGGGGGGCGTACAAGAAGGGGGATGTCAAACTGCTCCAAGAACCTGCTAAAACCACTTTTAGTGGGAAATGAAAGCATACAACTTCCAGAAGGGCAAAGGAAGGAACTCATTGAAAGGGGGTGCAGAGAACTGAGGGAGACATGTCACAGAAGGGCTTCTTCCCAGGTCTAGCCATGGGACAGCACTGAAAGGGGGTTAGAGTCTGCTGACAACAGAGCAGAGTGAGTCATCCAGAGGACCCTGCTCTTGTCTCTTCCTCATTCCCTTCTTAATAATGTGACTGGGCAAGTCATTTAGTCTTAGCCCAGAACTAAACTGTCTCATCTGTAAAGGGAACAACCGTACTTTCCTTGCCTAAAGGCAAGGTCAGATTATTTTGCAGTTCCTCTCAACTCTGGGATTTTCTGAATCATAGACATAGGCACTCAGTGTAGGTCATGTTTGTACCAGCCAAAGATGGAACAGGGGATATTGTCTCCTGAAGTGAAATTGCCATTGATAAATTGATTTATTAGTGCTGTGTTTAGTCATTTTGCTGGGAATGAATAATCATTTGTTAGCCTAAGTAAAAAACCTGTGCCTTCTAGAGAATACCATCCATTTATATATGCTCTAGGGAGAGTGTTTATACATACAAATGAAGGACAGGTCTTTGCTAGGAAGACAAGCTCCATGAAATTTCACACGTTCATGCAATGTCGGTATGTTGTCAGGCAGTAGATGGGATCTAACCACAGCACTGGCCAAAATTTGATGGACTCCTGGTTCCCCTGACTAGATCCTACTAAGGGCACTGAAAAGTAGTCTTTGCGAGATCAGAGGCTTGGCTCCCGATTTCCTCATCCCATTAATAATCAATTGTGCATGCAGGATCTCTGAGTATGACTAATCGTTCCTCAAAACTATTTATGTTTTCAGCTTGAATAGTATCTTGGTGTAAATGAGGCTCATGAATTATACTTCTGGGTGATATTTGTTATAAATGTATATCAATCCCCACAGGTTTGAGATTCTGGTTCTGGTATTCTAGGGTTTTGTGAACAAGTTTATGTTCTCATCAATTCTTTTGCATTATGTTTCAGACTTCAGTAGACTTTAGGTTACCCTTTTGGTCTTCTTCATTGCAGAAGAATGAGTCTAAAACCTGCTAGTTTTTCTTTACTTGCTGCCCTACCCTTGATACTTAAAATTATAGTTTTACAACTAGCAGCAGTACAATGTAGCAGAAAAATCATGGGCTCTAAGTACTCTGGATAAGGATTCTGGCTCTACTACTGATTTAACCATGTTGTTTGGAGAAATTTTTATTAACATGAGATTATTTTCTGATTGGTGAGATGGGGGTAATAATGTCTGTCTTGCAGGTCTGTTATGATGATTCGAGGTAATGTATGCAGTGTTCCTTGAATATGGTGTGTGCTCAGTAAACAAGGCCGTTAATCGTCTTATCAATGAATTAACAGTGTTCTTCAGAAAACACTGTTGAGGTGATCGGGTTATTTGGGTCTCTATGTGTCCCTAATTAATAAGCATGCAAGTTTTATAGTTACCATGAAGATTCCTAGTCAAAACTCATAAAATACTAGTGCCAGAAAGGACCTTAGAATCACTTTTAGAGTAGTTTTTCTCAAATTTTAATGTGTTTATGTACCATGCAGATATCTTGCTATAAAATGCAGATTATGATTCAAAAATCCTAGAGTTGGGCTTGAGATTCTGCATTTCTAACAATCACCTGATGCTTGCTGGTCCTAACTTAGAGTTGAAAGGCTCTAAAGCTCTTGACCAAACCATGAAACCCAGGAAAGAAAGTGGCTTTCAAATGACTTGCTTAATTGAATCGTGAATGCTTGCTTTCCAGTTCCAGCTTTAAACTCTAACTTAGCTAGAACCCAGCTCTTAGGCTGAGACCCTGCTAACTGCAATACCAATCTGGAAAATGAAATGGAAACCTTCAGGGTGCTTAGAAGCAGTGCAATGCCTGGAACAATGCCACTTTCCAATCCTTCCCTCTTTGTGTAGCCTTATTTGCCCACCAAGCCTGGTAGCATTGTCAACTTTGCCCTCACCCTTCTTCTCTAAATCCATTCCAGTTAAAGCCAGGCCTATGCTCTACTGATAATATTAGTCTGTGAATTCACTTGTTTGGTTTTATGCTTTCCTTCTTCAAAGATGTCCTTAGCACAAACAGACGTGGATGCATCACTCACCAGTGACATGACTTTGAACAAGTCACTTCACCTGAGTCCCAGATATTTTGTTGGAATGATAAGAATAATATCTGCTATGCAGGGGTGTGATAACTACTACATACAGATATAAGAAAATGTACCTTTAGTACAGTGCCTGCTCATAGAAGGTGCTCAGTCATTCAACAAACATTTGTTATATATCTGCCACATTCTAGGTACATTACTAGGTACTAGAAATAAAAAAATGAATATGACAGGCTGGCATTTCAGCTCTAAAGGATCTTCTCTGGTGGAGAGGATACAAGATATATAGATAAAACACTCGGGAGAAGTGGTGTGGTTGAGATAAATTCGATCAAAGAGAAATGAAAGCTCTTTGGTGCAGTGTAACACCACTAGAGTTTTTAAAGTAACCTTCATTATGGGTGCAGTAGTGAAGCAGAGGAAGTGGGGGTGAGTACATGATCACTTTACACCCACTTTACAATAAACTCTTGATGTTTCAGAGGGATGCTATTGACATCTTTTGTGATCTAGAAAGATTCCCACTTTTGTGACTGCCACCACAGTACGTCATGAGAATTAAGGCTTTTGAGCCTACTGCTGCCAGTAACAAAACCTCACGAAGATATGGGTGCTACCAGAACATGAATCTCAGTAAACACGTGGCTGGCTCCTGTGTCCCAGGCCAGCATGCCTCTGCAAAATAACAGATTATTGCAGCTCATGGACCTTTGGGGTCTCCGAGAAGAGCCAAAACCATGGCTGTCAAATATGCTAATGCCAAGATCTACTACAGTTAAATAGCATAGGCCTCCTTTGAAGAAGAATGGAGTATTTGCTGTGCTGCTCATTTTCCAACAAAATTAGAATGTTAAAGTTGGAATGTATCTGGCATCCTATTTTAACAAGTTATGAAACAGATCCAGAGGAGGAAGTGACTCGTCAAAGATCATACTGTTGGGTGGGATAGGAAGTACGAGTTGGGAGCACTTTTTAGAGGCTACTGATTTAATGTCTGCCCCTCCCAGTTTGGACTTTTCCATTTTATTTTTATCTATCAGAAAAATGTTAACTATGGAGAGAATATGGAATTCTTAGGTGAAAAATGCTCTGGAAGTACAAATACAGGAGTATTATGTGACTAATCCTTAACTAAGAATAACAAAATATTATGGACTATTTTTAATTTCTTAGTGCACCTTGAGACTGTTCAGGAGGGAAAGTATTGAGCCCACAGAAATTTTAAAAATCTCTATCTTAGTGATTTCTTACAGAGAAAGGGTGACAAGCAGAGCTGGGACAGCTCTTAGGCAGTGAGATAATGAAATTGTGTTTTGTGAAACAATACAAGTTTTTTTCAAAATGATGCAGGCCATTCTCCTCCAAGGCTGCTTTCTCTGTAAAGTTTCAACCCCAAGGAATCTTTCCATCAAAATCTATAAAATTCTGAAGGATTGCAGGACACAGTTTGCACATTCTCCAGTTTGACTAAAACACAGTAAGCTTTTTTCTTTTTCTTTGGCTCAGCAAGGTGTTAGCGTGCTTCTTTCCTGCCACCAGGGGAGATTATCTGCCTCTAGACGGTCCTTCCTGTGTTGGAAAAAGTCTCAAGCTGCCAGCTTAGTGAGGGTGGGAGTAGATGGAGGTGGTGATGATACTCCCTTAGCTGGCATCCCGCCCTTTCTCTTTGCTTCT